TTCTGAAGATCATGTGACACTGAAGAATGGAGTAATGATGCTGAAAATACAGCTGCGCATCACAGAAATAAATTAGATTTTAATGTATATTAAAACAAAAAAACATTATTTTACATCATGATAATATTTCACAATATTACATTTTTTCCTATATTTTTTATCAAATAAATGCAGCCTTGATGAGCAGAAGAAACTCCCGCAAAAAACATAAAAAATCGTTCTGATCCCAAACCTTTGACCGGTAGTGTATATCTCAAAGCAAAAAGGCACAGCACAGTTGAATTATTGCTTTAATGTTTTGAATAATGTAGCAACGTGTGTGCATATCGATTATTGTATGACAGCTGCAAATGTGTCTCACCAAATCAGATAATAGCACCAATATTGTCTGTTTTATAAAGCAAGTGTTATCCTAAGTTCACTATACATCTGCTCATCTCAGCTGTAAAATGCAGCACACATGTATCTGTACCTGTTATGGCTCTCTCCACACTGTCTGATACTTTAGGGATCTGCTCGTCTACTGGAGCACACAGCATCTCAATGGACACCCAGTGCAAAGCCCTGAAAACACACAAGACACAGACACACACACACACACACAAAGTGTTATGCCGTTTTTATTCTTCACACTTCAACTCACTTGACTTGACAGACGCTTTCAGCACACCTGATTCTCTTCTGGACGGCCAGGTCTTTCTTCTCATCGTCTGTGTTGTCAGGGCAGAAGAGCTGCTTACACAGACGGCCCATCACATACCGCTCCACCTCATCCATCACCGTCTCCATCACATCTGGAGACCCTGACTCACATTTACATACACAACCGTCAGAAACATGGCAAACTATCTGTTTTTATGAGACAAGCACTATAACACTATGGCACAAACACTGCCATGCTGAGAGGACACAATCACTGGCATGTGTCAATAGCAACAGAGGTGTATGTATTTCATTTAGACAAAATCCCCTGCACATGCATAACAATAGTCTATAAATTCAATTAAAGTGAGAAAATTAAACAATGCAAATCAATACAAGTGTGCAGCTCAGTTTTCTGTAACCACTGAGCATCACAAGCCACTTACAGCACAAAGCTAATTATCGCAGTAGCGCTTAATTTGCACAAATCTGTTTTGCTTCAGTCATACTATGTGATTGAATGGATTTTTATCTCCGAGTCTGTAGACTCCTGCACCTTCCACACACATATCACAATGACGGTGATGCACGAGCACTTTAGCATATAATGTTACTAATAAAATAAGCAAGTTTGTGACTGATGGCACATTTAATAACTGGGAAAATTGAAAATGATTCTTTATGACAAAAATTAAAAAAGTGGCACTTCCTGGCAAAAGGTTGCCAACCCCTTATATAGTTAATTCAATAGTTATTTATCTATCTATCTATCTATTAACGGCATATCAGCAACAATGGCTATAATCACGGCAACAATATCATTTCAATACATCATTTACAATCAAATAACATTTTCTTAAGAAACAATCACTATACAAAAAACATACAAGAAACAAGAATAGTACTAATAAAAGTAATATACAATATTTTAAATTTAATCAGTGATAAAATTCTAAAATGCCTCTGGGAGAGACTTTCTTTGAAAATATCTTTTAATATATTTTCTGAGTAAAGTATCATTTAAAATGCAACATTCTATTAAAATATGTTTTATACTATATTAAAATTCTTACACAAGTCACAAACAGGTTTCTCTTCTCCTTTCAGTAAATATGAATGAGCTTTGAATGTCCAATTCGACATCTTGTATATACAACCTGATCATATCTATTTTCAAAACAGTAATTACTTTTTATTTTTACATTTATTACTGGATTCTTTGAATATGCATTCATTCCATTCAATTTAGTTAGTTCAATAAATCTTATAAAATAAATGAATAGGTCTTTCTGATTTATTATTTACAGAAAACAATATGAAAACAGCAAACAATGTGGGTTTGCATGTTGTACCTTTTAAGTTGTTCTGTAGGTATTCTGACATGTTTTGATAGAAATCCTGCACCGAGTCTGAGAAATCTTCACCACCTGCAGCCACCTACAGCGCAAACAGAAAGAAAACATTTAGTTAATAAAACATTGTTGTGCAAATTGTGATGTAGTACAAAATGTGGCCTTTATTGCTTCCAAAGCATGGATGCTGGAACATATCAGCATACTTGTTTATCACCTTTTTGTGTGCAATATTTTCAACGAAGGCATGGCACTGTTTAAAAATGTCATATCCGGGTCTCTGGAAGGTCTTCAGGAAGTCAATGAAGTGCTGTGTCACGTGATCACGGCTGAGCGAGGTGCTCTGGCTCACGGCTGTCTTTGGAGCTCCTGCATCTGCGTGAGAACAAGAGCGAGATGGTCATGTGTGAAATGCTACTAAGTTATGCCCAGAAAAGGCTAAAACTCGTTAATGTTGGATTTCACTGAACTCTACTCACGCCCGATATTGTGGGTCCCACAATTAGCTATTCTTAATAAAGCAATAAGCCCCAAGAAGCCGTGGTTTGCAGTGAATTTATAACAGCTGAGGGGCGTTGTTAGGCATGACGCGAAGCAGAGTAAAACGGTTATTCCATATACGTAGCAAGGTTTCACAAGATAAAACAGCGCAAATAAAGTGTAATGATATTAATAAAAACAGTATTCTTCCACCAAACAATGTAGCTCCTCAGAGTCAGAAACAGTTGTGGTTGCAACAAAGTGGTTGCCGAGCAACACACAAACGTAAACAAAGGTGTATGTTACTTTGTAGAGTCATTTACAACAGCTTCGAACACGGCTCAGCCAATCAGAATCAAGCACCGGAACTATCCGTTTTATAATAGTATATTTATGTTTAAAGTATACAATAAACACACACACACACACACACACACACACACACACGCAAATGTTGCAGGTTTAATGCAAGATAAGCTCAACTGACAGCATTTGTCAATTACCACAAATAATAATACTTTTCATGCTTTATAATCATGAAATAATCATGCTTTAATGTGTACCAAACAAAAATCATGGTTACAATTAAACATCACAAGGCGATAAATGTTCAAATAAACTCAGTTTTGGAAGCGTGCATTACTGTAAACACGGCCTCTGCAAACTGAGGGGCAAGTGTACGTGTTTTAACGATTATTCCAGTTGTTTGAGATTACTGTACAAGGATATTTAGACAGGGTTTCTGCAGGTTTTGAAGGTAGATTTAACACTTTTTAAGACCAAATAAAGAATACATTGAATAGATCACAATACATCAATATGGTCTCTAAGTGTAAATGTCTTGGGTGCATACAATAAGCTGTGTTAGCAACATTACTTTTAATTCATTTTCCCCAAAAAACAAAACAATGTTTGATTACCTCTCTTTCATACCACTAGAATATGGAAATACTTTTTATTGCACCTTCTGATCAAACTTTGTTTGTTCTCAGTTTTGTGGATTGTTTTGTAGCACAAGATGTCTAAAGATTCTTAAATTAAGATCTACTTGAGAAGCACAAGGACAAAAGAAAAAAAGGCAAGTTAATCAAAATGAAGTGAGTTTATGATTAAAACAAAAATATCTTCCAGTGGGCTCAGAAAAATCAACTTAATTTCAAAGGGAAAACAAGTTTTCATTCCCCACTGATGGATATTTGCTCTTGCTTTAAGCATAAACTCACTTACTTTTGTTCAATTTTCTCAGAAAACAAGACTTGCATCCTAAGTAAATATATCTTGATCTAAAGATAGATATTTGTATTGGAAAATAAGGCAAAAACACTGAAGAAGAATTTTTTTTTGCAGGGCATGCAACATTTAAAGCCACGACTGTATGAATTTAAGACTTTCTGCTCTGATTTAAGACCCTTTTATGGTCTTAAATTTTTGAAAGGATGAATTAAGACTTTTTAAGACCTTTTTAAAACCCTCAGAAACCCTGTTAGGGATTGCACTCACAACTAAATACTTTAGAGCTGAGCATTACCAGAAAAACAACAACAACACTTGACCCTCTAACACTTGCACTCTCTATTCTATTTCTATTCTATACTGCATTAAGCTAACTGAGACTTATCACAGCTCTTCCATATTATTGCTCTTTTGTTGATTTTGATTGCTTCTATTGTCCTCATTTGTAAGTCGCTTTGGATAAAAGCATCTGCTAAATGTCTAAATATATATATATATATGTGCTGTCAAATGATTAATCGTGATTAATCGCATCCAAAATAAAAGTCAGTATGGGCAGCCATGTGTATATCATTATTGAATTGGATTAAATCCTACATAGCACTTGAGCACAAACTGAAATACAAAGACTAATGTGTTAAATCTCTATGAAACCAGTTTTGTTGTGTATATTGTCTGTATATGCCTCCACACTCAGATCTCTCGTTCCCAGCATGCTTTGCTTCTGAGTGTTAAAGGAGAGTAAAAATGTTAAAATTAAGCGTTTAACAGTCTGTTAGTGTTTAATGCTGTATTCTTTTGAAATGTAAAGTGTTTCTGGTGTGTGTAAGTTTGAGTAGAGTCTGTGTTCAGGAAGACGATTGGCCAAACACTGTTAAATTATATGTTACTTTATTTAAAAACCAATGGCTGTGCACTAAATGTTTAGTATGATGGAGTATGCTTATGCTATAGTAAACTATCGCTATATTTTAAAATATGAAACATGCATGTCATAAATGATTGTTAAACAAAACATAAGACATATATATTTCAATATATGTATATACTGCATGAGTAAATGTTCAATATCATATATAATCTTGTGATTTGAACGAGAAAAATGAGTTAATCTGTGCTTCTGTTTGATCAGCCTCAGCTGTATCTGTACTTGTGTTTAAGCTCTCGTGCCTGCACCTCAACACTGAAGAATAAACATAGAAACACAATATCTAAGATGCTGAGTCATGGCTGTATCTTTAGTCATTATGCAGCACAAATGCACATTTTAAGACTAGCTTAGATCATATGTTTCACATATTTTCAGTTACGTGTCCTGATAATAGCTCATAATTAGCTTATAGTCATTATTTTTTTCAAATGATTTATTATTTTAATAATTTGTTACTTATTGTTATGAATTACAAGATGTTACAGTCAATAACAATATAATAATTTGTGTAAAAAGTGTCTTAAATAGCTCAAAATCATGATTTCTTGTTGTCCGGAACGAGTCAGTGCATTTTTTCCAGCATGTAATCAAAATATTTTATTGTACTTTTCTTTTTGTAATATTTCATTCATTTGATTTCTAAAAGCCCTAAATACTAATTTACTTAATTCCACAACATGAAATTTTTAAAAAATAACTTTTTACTTATAAAAATGTGTGTCTATAAATCTTGCGTCAACTCTGTTACCGTCCTATATTTTGCCTTTAAATTGGTGGATTTTATTGTTTATTATCTCCCGCGACTACGTGAGATACAGGAAATGATGTCACTTTCCCGCACCGATAAGATCTGAAGCACTGAAACGTCTGTGTGCTCTCTCTGAGAAAATATTTTAATCTAAAAATTTCTTATACCATCAGTTATTTTGAAGAACGTCAACGCTGTTACCAAAATATCAAAAGAAAAAACATAATTTATTACTGATCACAAATTGGGTTATTTAAAGGTATTTTAATCATGATTTCATTAGTGCCATGTGCTCTTAGCATTTATGCTAGCAAGTGGAGTTTTTGGCAAAAATAAAATAAAATTGTCAACTCTGTTACCATCAAACTCTGTTACCAAGGTAGAGTACAGTGTAACAGAATTGACAGTCCACCAGATAATTCTGTCAATTCTGTTACTTAAAGGGTCAACTCTGTTTATGAACTATTTTCACAAAAAAACTATACAATTGTTGTTTAAAATCTCATAAACATTATTGAGATATGATGCACCCTTATAATATTTCAACAACATTTCTCTCTTTTTTTATTGGATATTGTATATAATACATTTTCAGATGAAAAATATTTGCTCCAAGTGGACAATTCTGTGAAGACATAGATTTATTTATTTTTTTTTAAGATTTGCATAGGTGAAAAATGATCTCAGATTTTAAATGTTGGATTCTTGGAATTGTTGGAATTGTAGGACTGTTTGTCTAATGATACAAGAAGGATTTTTCCTTTTATGATTTATTGTTATTTCTACATATTGCCTAATTTGTCCGTAACAGAGTTGACAAACAATACCATAAAGACATCTGTTTTTTCATTAAAAGTACAACAACAACAAAAAAGGAAGTAACTTGTGTTTGGCAAGCACTGAATTATTAAAATTGAATATGTTTTCAATGGAAAGAGTTTCTGTTAGTGAACAGTTTTTTTTCTTAACTTAGCTAAAAAGCTAAGCTAAAGCGCGCTTTGCAGGACATGGAGACGCCAGCGCGATCACTTGCATTTTAATTTATTTTAATAACAGTGGAAACTTAAAAATACGCCGTCATTTTTGCTCATAAAGTTAAGAGTATCCATAATTCAGAACTGCAAAGGGTCTACTTGTATTTGTGTGCACTCACAATATCAACAAAACCTTGTGCTTTTGTAAAATAATGAAAACAAACAGTATGCGCTTTCTGTCGTCTTGGTCTTGAGCAGGAGCGCCTCACCAACATGATAAATATATCTATAAATATATCTATAGAATGCTTTAAATTACTATTTTAAAACAAAATAATTCAAATCGAAAACAAAAACTCTTTCATTATGTAATCCGTAAAGATGCATTTCTCTCTAAAGGCAGTCCAATGAGGAGATGGCGAGTCAGGTTCATCTAATTCATTTTTGCAACATTGACTCAGAAAACATTAGTTTATTAACAAATAATTCAAATATCCCCTCACTATTTTTTACTTTGTTTGTTTGTTTTTTATTTTTTTGTTTGTTTTTTGGGCCGCTGTGCCAAAATTGTGTTTGCATTCAGTACGGCAGCATTTTAGTGCCACGTTGAAAAATAGCTAAATAAATAAGATGAACGTCATAATATTTTAAGAATAAAGTCAAAATTACGATAATAAAATCATGTTATATTGCGTGAAGTTAACGTGAAAATTCCACCTATAGCCTACTCCGCCCAAAAAAAGAAAAAAAGTCTGTGGCATCCGTCATTCTTTTGACTTTTTTAATCTCTGATTGATCGATTCATGAGACATTCGTTTGAATTAAATTGTTCTGATTTTTTTCAACATGCATTGAAAGCAGTTAGTAAATAAATAGAGTGCAAGTCCAAAAGGGGTAAGTTTTTTTTTTTTGTTAATAAAGAATAGAATTAGAATAGAGAGTGCTAGAGTTAGAGGGTCAAATAAAGATATATATATATATATAATAACGTAGTATATTACTTTTGAAAGGAGAAACTAGTAATGAGTAATAAATTAATTTTGTGAGGAACTAGCCCAATGGCCAATGGTACGCCGTTTCCTGTGTGCCCCGTCTCTGATTGGTTCATATCTTTGTTTTGCCGGATGTAGGTGTCTGGATCTGCAGTGGCCATGGCGGAGGTCAGCGGCTGTTTGAGGAGCGGAGCACACAAACTCTCTGTCGCTATAACACTACGGAGACGTTATCATCATCTGTCCGCGGCGGATGAGTTTACGAGCCCTGCCGGTTCTGACAGGACTCACGGAGTGACCAAACAACCGCGGATCCGAGGCTACCGCACCGGACCGCGCGAGGAGCACCGGAGCCCAACCGCCTACTACGACATCCTGAGGGTTTCGCCGAGCGTCACGCCAGCGCAGATCAAGAGCGCCTATTATAAACAGTCCTTCATCCATCACCCGGACCGGAACCGGAACCGCAGCGAGGACGCGGCGCGGCTCTTCGCGCTCGTCGCTGAAGCCTACAGTGTGCTCGGCGACAGCGGCCTCCGGAGGAAGTACGACCGCGGGATACTCAACCGGACCGACGTGCAGAGCGCCGGGAGACCGTCGACGCCTCGCCGCGCCCCTGACGCGAGCGCTCACTTCGACTTCGACGCGTTCTATCAGGCGCATTACGGCGAGCAGCTGCAGAGAGAGCAGCAGATGAGACGCAGGCGAGAGCAGACGCGCCGCCAGCAGCAGCAGCAGCAGCAGCTCAGGGCCTGGAGACGGATGAAGATGAACGAGGTCACGGTCGCCTTCCTGCTGCTCTGCGGAGGCGGCATTCTTATCAGCCTGAGGTCTTGAATCAGCGTCGACGAGGTTTGATCGTAAATGCTTCGTAGACATGAACTCCGTTAACCGTGGAAGAAGAAGCATTTCGGCCGTCTGAGACACATTTTGTGAATCCTAGAAAATGCATCATAAATCTGTAACTGATTAATGACCATTGCCATCAAAGTTCACCTGCTATGAGGTTAATTTTTAATATACACTACCAGTCAGACAGTTTTGAACGGTGAGATTTTTCATGTGTTTAAAGAAGTCTCTTCTGCTCGGCAAGCCTGCATTGATTTGATCAGAAATACAGCAAATTCAGTAATATTGTGAAATATTTTTACTATTTAAAATAACTTTTCTATGTGAATACCTGTTAAAGTGTAATGTATTTCTGTGATGCGCAGCTGTATTTTCAGCATCATTACTCCAGTCTTCAGTGTCACATGATCTTCAGAAATCAGTATAATATTGCTTCTTTAAACTATTATTATTATTATGTTGAAAATAGCTGGGGTAGAATTTTTTCAGGTTTCTTTGATGAATAGAAAGTTCGGAAGAACAGCATTTATCTGAAATAGAAATCTTTTGTGACATTATAAATGTCTTTATCTTCACTTTCGATCCATTTAAAGCATCCTTGCTAAATAAAAGTATTCATTTATATAATGTCTTAACCAATAAAATAATTATACTGACTCCAAGTTTTTGAATGCTAGAGTGTATAATGTTACAAAAGCTTTTTATTTCAGATAAATGCTGATCTTTGGATCTTTCTATTCATCAAAGAATCCTGAAAAAATGTACTCAACTGTTTTAAATATCGATAATAATAATAATAATAATAATAATGCATGTTTTTTGAGCAGCAAATCAGCACATTAGAATGATTTCTGAAGGATCGTGTGGCTGGAGAAATGATGCTAAAAATGATGCTTTGATCACAGAAATAAATTACATTTTAAAAGATATTCAAATAGAAAACAGTTATTTTAAATAGTAAAAATATTTCACAATTTTACTGTTTTTGCTGTATTTTTAATCAAATAAATGCAGGCTTGGTGAGCAGAAGAGACTTCTTTAAAAACAATAATGTTCAAAAACATTTGACTGGTAGTGTAAATAAAAGCAATATTTATTCAGCATACTTGTTGCTGATGTTCATTTACAATTCCAATAATTAGAGCTATATATCAATGAATATTATATTTATATATAATATACTATGTCATGGGTTTTTGGTTTGTGCAGGATGCCTTACGTTAGTATCAAATGATTTTATAAAACAAACTTGGCTTTACACACTCACTATATGGACTAATCGGTGTAACCGTAAATCTCTCTTTATTCTCCACACTGCATTTAGAATGAAAACCTTTCTTTGTGGTACTTTATTCACAGAAATATAGAGTTTAATGTGAAGGTCATCACTTGATACAAAATCCCAGAATGTTCCAAACTCATTCCACTGTTAGCTTCAAGGATTCATATAAAAACAAAACGCAGTAGTAGACAACATTAAATAAAACGACAAGGGAAAGATGCATGGACTCTACAGCTGAGCTACAACACATCAGTCATTTTCACTTATTCAACGATGATGATGATGATGATGATGATCGGCACACATCTGTCATGTCGCATGAGACATCAAGCACAATATACTTTCTCCCCAAATATGTGATTCGTGTAATTACTAGTAATAAACAGTGTAAGGTTTGCATTCAATGTTGACTTTAAAAGCCAGTTAATTCAATACTGGCCTGTTTCCCCACTTTATTATCCCACAGTTATCATATCCACGAAATCAGTCGAGCTCTACTGCTGCATAGAACAGGTTTCGTCTCTTAATCCAGATGTGACCCTGGAGCACAAAACCAGTCTTAAGTGTCTGAATAATAAGCTTTCCATTGATGTATGGTTTGTTAGGATAGGACAATATTTGGCTGAGATACATCTATTTGAAAATCTGGAATCTGAGGGTGCAAAAAAATCACAATATTGAGAAAATCATCTTTAAAGTTGTCCAAATTAAGTTCTTAGCAATGCATATTACTAATCAAAAATTAAGTTTTGATACATTTACGGTAGGAGATTTACAAAATATCTTCATGGAACATGATCTTTACTTAATATCCTAATGATTTTTGGCATAAAAGAAAAATGTATAATTTTGACCCATACAATGTATTGTTGGCTATTGCTACAAATATACCCCAGCGACTTAACACTGCTTTTGTGCTCCAGGGTCACATATTTGTATTTATTTTTTGAATCTGAAGCATGACTCGTATCGCTGGAGGTTTGGGTGACAACTAGTTCACATTAACAACAAATGACCCAGTTAAAGGTAAAGTACATGCCGTTTTGGTTCTGTCACTCGTAACGGTTAAAATCATGACTGTTCTTCAAGCACGAGGACTGTTGAGGTTCAACCACAGCAGAGCAGAACCCTTGAAAGCACACGAACCAAACCAAACACATGAGAAACACAAGCTTTGAGAGAGTCGCACAGACACACGGGAAGGTACTGTACATGTTCTCAAACAGACGCGGTCACTGGGCAAATATGGTGAGCTCTGTGGATTGTATTCACGAGACTCAGAGATGTGAGAGAATCTCCTGAAATCAGATCCTCATCTGCTTTGAGAGCGAAGCAGTCAAAAAACAGACTTGTGTTAAAATGCAATTGTTTAAATCAAGCTCACACGAGTTATAAGGGTTTATCAGGTGATCCTGACTTGAATTGGTTATAAAAAGAATATTCATTCTTTATTTACTTCGTCGCTCCGAACATGTACGAGTTTCTTTCTTCTGATGAACATGAAGAAGGATATTCTGAAGAACGTTGGGACGGTAGCCATTGACTTCCATGGAGAAAAATACTATGGAAGTCAATGGCTGCCAGCAACTGTTTGTATATTTTATACATTTATTCTTTTGTGTTCAACAGAAAGCAGAAACCCTTACAGGTTTGCAACAACATTATAGAGAATAAATGATTTCTCCTTTTTGGCTGAACTGTCCCTTTAAATAAGACACTCTGCCATTGGTGAAGATCAGGTGCTGTTTAGAAGCCCTTTGTGCAGGAAAACATCACAAAAATGTCTCGCACAAACGTACAGTGATGTCCAAGTCACCACAGCCCATAAAAAGGGTTGTCTTCTTTTACATTTTTGGCCATTATTTGAAAAATACCAATAGATGAGTGATGAAAAATATCACATTTTACACTCAAAAAAGTACATCCCAAAATCTATCAATGTCCTAAATCCTCCTGACTACCAGCTATGGAGTTGTGTCCTCTGTAGAGGACATTATGTTTTAGTGATTTCTCTGAGACGTTACATGCCACAGTTGTAAGTCTGGAGTCCTGTACAGAGCACATTCTGTGCTTTTCAGAGATATTAAATGATTGGATGTTTCACCGTGACCACTCCCTCTTCTTGCTCTTTAAAAATGGCTGACATTCATTTAGTGATCAAGTGTAACACCCTAATGGAAATATATTAATATTTTGTAATTATCATTTAAATCCGACTAATTTTCAAATTGTTTGTCATAAATCAACATCTCAGGAAAATGTTATGGGGTTTCAAATCAAAATATGAGCTTCTGTTATGAAACAGGAGGTTGATTTCATACATGTCCACTGTAGACGACACCGGGACTTAACGCATGTTTATTACACATTTTGGGAGACACAACAAATGAATAGAGAAAAACGTATGTATCAATATTCCTATTAAATATTAGATATTATTATGAAAATCTTGCTAATTATTACTCCAATTATTGCACTTATTTCTTCATTCTATGTTGCCACAAAAACACATTAATATGCAAATTAGATACAGTTTATAGATACATTGTATATAATGGAAAAACTCGTTTATGGCCATTTTACATACATTTTGCATAAAGAAAAATGGTTTTTAAAAATATTTTTCATAACATAGTTGAGAATCGTCTTTATATAAAGTTATATAAAGTATAAATAAAATATATAAATAAAAAATGAAAATTGATTTGTGATTTAAAACAAAAATCCCACTGTTGTTGCCTTTTCATGTCTTTTTATTTCTTAAAAAACAGCACTTTTTAAAGTCCCGATGTCTTCTACGGAGGACGTGGCATAACATGAATAAAATATATTTTTTCAAACATTTTATTTTTCACATTTTTTCTTATGCTCTGAACAATGTAATGACATGGCAAAATACTAAATTCACAAAATGTCCTGGTAGTCAGGAGGATATGACTAATATTAGAATAATGCATGGCCGAACAGGTGAACATAATTAAAACATGATAAGCATAAAGTTTGATTTTTCGTGGATGATTGCAAAATCATTTTCATGATGTGATGGCATATAAAGGAAGATCAAATATACACTACCGGTCAAAAGTTTGGAATGGTTAATATTTTTAATGTTTTCTGAAAGAAGCCTCAGCAAAGCTGAATTCATTTTGATCCAAAAATACAGTAAAATCAGTACATTTGTAAAATATTACAATTTAAGTGAATCTATTGTTAAACTGTAATTTATTCCTGTGATGCGCAGCTGTATTTTCAGCATCATTACTCCAGTATAAAGTGTCACATGATCTTCAGAAATCATTCTAATATGCTGAAATGTTGAAAACTGTTTTTGCAGCTTAATATACAACTGTGATGTCTACCATTCAAAAGATTGGGGAAAGCTTTAAAAAAAAACAAAAAAACATTAATTTATACTTACGTAAATTAAGGACGCATTAAATTGATCGGAAGTGACAGTAAAGACATTTATAATGTTACAAAAGATTTCTATTTTAAACAAATGCTGTTCTTTTGAACTTTCTATTCATCTGAATCCTGAAAAATAAAATGTATCAGTTACCACAAAAATATTGTGCAGCATAACTGTTCAACATTGATAATAATCAGAAATGTTTCCTGAGCAGCAAATCAGCATATTAGAATGATTTCTGAAGATCATGTGACACTGAAGACTGGAGTAATGATGCTGAAAATACAGCTGCGCATCACAGAAATACATTACAGTTTAACAGATATTCACATAGGAAACAGTTATTCTAAATTCTAATAATATTTTTAAATTTTTACTGCATTTTTGATCACATAAATGCAGCTTTGGTCAGCAGGAGAGATATTTATCAGTACTAAACATGAGTAAATCGCACGCATTAAATCAGAAACAACACAAAGGGAAACACTCAGACACCTGATCAGTTTGGAGTGTGCTGTAACAGTGAAAGCTCTTGTCTCTCATGAAGCGCAGCAGCAGCAGCATCAGTAGAAGGAGTACT